TCCTGCTGAGCTGGGATGCAGCAAGGGCAGCACATGGAGGTCTAACAGCTGAAGGGCTTCTATGAACTTGTAGGTTGAAACACAGGCACACCAAGAGGCAGCTGCAAGTGCTGCATCTGGGCAGCCTAGGAAGGTAACAGTGATATCTGCCCTACATGTCAGAAGAGCTTAATCTTAGCATGGCTTGAAGACTGCTGAGACATCTTCCCATTCTCTATCCCATGTGCCTTGCTCCAGTCACCAGCTCCAGCCCTTTCAGCTGAGTTTTTGCTGTCCAGGCAGGTTGGTGGTACACAAGACCAAGCCTTGAGTCTGCATTGACAGATGCAGACCCACCCTCACCAACAGCCACAGGTGATGGTGCTGTAAGCTGTTCACACCAAACTGGCTTGTGATGGGTGAGGCATGACTCTTGGCAGCAGGCTAGCTCTGTACTACCTGCTGGTTTAGGATTAGCATGTAAGGCTGACATGACATTCAAGGTCCTCACAGGAAGTGTACTAACCTACCTCCTGCTTAGCCTCAGTGCATCCTTGAATCACATCTCATATGGAACGGTGACAGGAGCTGCTTGAGGAACAGCCAAGAGGAGCTAGCTGCTGTTGTGCTCTGTCCACCAAGTTTCAACTAAATACTGCAAGGATCTTGCAGAAGAGGGAACACGGCAGGCTACCTGCAAATCCTGCCATGGTCAAGGAATGCAGCCATCTCTGCCCATATCTGCCATGGGGGATGTTATGGCAAAAGAATCTAGCCCAAAGGGAACATGGCTTCTTTTAATAGTCACTTTTTGAAAAGCACTGGGAGGCTTACACAGTGGTCTTGAGTAGGCAAGCTGAACTAGATTGTATCTCTTCAGACCCTAGAAGCCCTACGGAGAAAGCCGCAGTGTTTAGCTTGCTAGAGCAACACCCAAATTCTGGGCACAGGAACAAAATATGTTAAGTCTCCCAGAGAAGTAAGCCTCATCCTCTGCTGTGTCCTGTCCCCACATCCTATAATCCCTTTATAGGATTTCTCTGGCTAGGAAGGGCAAGTAGAACCAGTATCACCACAGAGTCAATGTAGGAGGATATTTGTTACCCAGCTAATCTCTCCAGAGTCCACTACAGAGAAGGATAAGCTCATCTAGAGACATATTCAAAGCACCTCATGTTTATCTGTGCAATTTGATTTTTAAAACAGTTTTCCATCCAAGCCAGGTAGGTGAATATACTGATGCAATTAACTGCAGGCAGTTTGGCACAGATGGTCCCCAAGAAACAGAACTAGCTGAACAGCAGGGGTTTATATTTAATCATGAGCCAGGCCCTCAGTGAGGCAAGTCAGCAAGACCCTACTGAAGGCAGGGGAGATCAGCCGAGCCCACTCAGCTCCTGGCACTTCTCCCACTGGTGAGCGAGGCACAGGTTCCCTGCAAAGGGCCAGGAACTCTCATCAGGGACTCCAGCATATGCCTGGAACAGCAGCAATATCTGACCTTGCATCCCCCAGAGCCTGAGCACCTCGGGCTGGGGCTCAGTGTAGCTTTACAAGATGTTTGGGAGTGCTTTCCTGTATCTGGTACCATCTACATATTCTGAGATTAAGCACTAGGAACTGTAGTTTTGGGGGGAACAGAAGCCAAGCTTCCGAGTGCCACTCCACCATGAGGATGTTGTACCCCCTAATTACCATTACACAGAAAAAATATTAGAAAGCAGAGTCAGAGCTCAAAAGCTTCCTTTCTGCTTAATTGGGGCAGTAGCATCCCCAGGCAGAAAGCCTATCCCCAAGTGGTATTTGTCCCATTTTACAACATGTGGATTGGTGATCCCTAGCACTAGGAAAAAGTCTGGCTCACTGCAATAAGTTCTAGGTTGATCAGAAGAGATTTAGACTACAAAAGCTGTGCCAGTTGTCAAAACCACACAGCATACCAGAGAGCACCACGTCCCTTAGATGACAGGTACCTGCAGAGCCATACCGCAGAGCCAAGAAACCCACAGCCTTCTAGTTGAGTCATCATTTTGGAAAGCTGGTCCTAGCTACAGCCCACATCTGCCCTTACAACATATTCAAGGGGAAAGACGACAGGCCTGTGGTCACACAAGAGAGCTCAGTAGGAACCCAAGAAAGTTGCAGCAGTCCTGCCAGAGCAAAAAGATTTTTTTTTTTTAAATGCTGATGCAGAAAGTCTCATTAAATAGGGAGAGACCAATGCTCAGTTGACACAGAAATCCCTCTTATCTTCCTGTGCAGAAAGCCAGGCTTCTAAAGGAGACCCCAGAGGGCTCAGAAACAGTTTAGCCTCCTGAATCATGCTGCTCTTGCTAAGCAGAGACCTTATTTCCCAGCCTGAAAGAGCAGGTTTTCTCCCCACATATGCCACTCTTCCCCTGCTGCCACTCTCCCATCACCACCACCACATCCTTGCATTGCCAGATACATGCAAGATTCACCCCGGCAAGGGGTGAGTGCTGTAGCTCGAGGCCCAGAAGGCTCATGGCTGGCTTCAAAGCAAGTGGCCTGACAGGGCAGGAGCTGCAGCACCTCACGCACACAGTGGGGAGGGCTCCCAGCTTCTCCTGCCCTCTAAACTTAACAGGAGTGAGACTTATTGCTTCATGCAGAGAAAAGATGCTGATTAGCTGTTGTCTATGGCACCCCACCTCTAATCAGAAGAAAAATACCATCTGGCATGCCACCCCTGGAGGGCTGCCAACCTTTGCAGTAAAATACGAAGGCAAGAGAAGGTCAAGATGAAGGAAGAGGAGCAAAACAGGCAGAAAGATTAATCCCTGCCAGGTGGTGTCAGTCCAGACACTGGAGTACAAAACTGGATGGATGAGCAAGCAGAGAAGAGTTTAAGTAGGAAAAAGAGCAAGAAGCACAAGCAAAACAATTCCCTCTTGCAAGAAAATCATGGATTAGCTGAAGAGATAACACATCTGAGCTGCAGAGCAACTCTAGATCTTCACCTAAACCTCTCTTGGTGGGTGTTTGCCCAGGCAGAATTTGCATCACTGGGTTTCAGCTGTCTGAAGACAGTCAGGCAGCAGAGACTCCAAGACTGGCAGTGGGCAAAAGCAGTTTAAGAAAAGGCAGCCCAGGGAGTGAGGCAAGACTGGAGGAGCCAGTGATGGGACAGCAGCTTAGCAGGTAGCTTTGAGTCAGAAGAGCATATCAGAGGGAATGCATCCTTCACCTCTCCCAGCAGCGTCAATAGAGCATCACTTGTCCTGGCAAGGTTTCAGCCAGCTGGACACCAAGGTAGCTATCTCATGCTGAATATCGCCCTGCATTGCATGGGGTGACAACTTCCGCCGGAGGGTGGCCAGGGCTTTCCACCTGTCTGAACGCATTCCATGAGTGTTACCTGGCACACAGGCTCTGCACACACCAGCAGTTACAGGTGCACAGAGCCAGACTCTACTGCAACAGTAGTACCACTGCTGCTCCTTCTCCAAGGGACAACCCCATCCCTCCCACCACAGCTGCTTGAATTCCAGGCATTCTCCATGACACTGTTCATTGCTTGCTTCCTGTACCTCCTGAAAGGGGACAGGTTGTTCAACAACTTTATTAGCAACAATAACACATGCGCATAGCTGGGTGCCAAACAGAGCTCAGTGTCAAGGCAAGTGTGCCACTCCACAAGAAACTGCCCGCCTCTTAGCCTTGGGATCAGTGGTACCTTCTGACTCCAGGCGGTCCAGCCCATAGGTCACAGCTGTACTGATCTTCCTCACAGATGGAAGAGCTGTCCTCCTGACAGAAGATGCCATTGATGCTGGAGTTGCCAGGACCACAGTTCTGCTGGATGGCTCCTCTGTCTGTCCAGACTGGGTAGCAGACAACCCACCAGGAGCTGGAACAGCCTTCTCACTGGTGACCAGGACCACATCTGTGAGATCTACAGAAGACAGGAAGCAGCAGCAGCTTGACACAACATTAGAAACCCCACCACTTAAGATCAAACTCCTTAATGAAAACTTAACTCTGAGCGGAAGAAGTCATTAAACTTTCACCTCTTTCAAGATGAGAGTGACTCTGCTGTCATGAACGCATCTCCTCTGGGACAGCCAGCACAGGAGGCTCCCCTTAATGAGAACTCAGCTAGGTTTTACTTTCATTGCTTTGAGGATTCCTAGTCACCACCCCATAGCAAGATCAGAGCATCAAGACACTGGTAGAGATCTGAACTGATAGATCTAATTGTTTATTGCAAAGAAAAATGAGTTGAATTTATAATTAAATCCCAGAAGCAAATTAATTAGTGGAAACTGCTGGAAGAGCCTTCTCTGCCCTACAAAGGGACCTTAATTTAAGGGATACAATGCAAATAAATTTTTTCTTTTGATGCCCTGCAATATAAAAATCACCAAAAAAGCTGCCCAGCAGCAGTTTCATTAGTGGTACCTACTAGTACAGAAATACACTCAACGTCAACTTTGTGCTAAGGGAACCCTTGCTATACTCCTGTCAGAGACAGGCTCCTACGTGTACCTGCCAAGGCGACATTGAGCCAGTAGGCAGCAGCTGGATGAACACAACTGCTTAAAGCATTTCTGTATGAACTACAGCCTGAGAAGAACTCACTGTTCCTCATGGAAGTGAAAATCAACGCAGGTTTCCACACCCAAGGACTTGCCAGACTCTTGCAAAAGGGTTACACATACACACTACACAATCCTTCCACCTTACACTGCTCCCGTGTTACTCTGATGAAACTTTTTGGTCCTTTGGACTGAACATCAGATATCTGACTGCCTTTGGCTCCAGAAGCAAGGGCTCTTCCTCCATAAATAACAACTGGCTTAAACATCTAGGGCTAAAAGTCAACTTGCTGGCAAGGATAGATGTTGGGTTTTGTTTGGTTTTGAGTGATTTTGGTTTTTTAAATCTCTACTCCACTGTTACTTGCAACAAAAACAATATGCTGACATATTTTAACATAGTGAATCTGGTAACACATGCAGAAATCAGCAGCAGTCCAGGGCTAGAGGCAGCCTGCTAAAAAAAGCAACTTAGGATAAAGACGCTGTATGTTGAGACTTCAGTGTCCAAGCATTGATTTTAGTTTCAGATGTACCATCTCATCTCATGTGGAAATACACCTGCAGAGCTTCAAGCAGAACCCTACCTTCTATATCTGGAGCATTCACCATGGAGGAAGTGCCAGTTGCCACTGGCATCTGGGTGGCACTAGGAGCAGTCAGCACCTGGGTGTCCTCCCCACTGTTTTCCTGCAGAAGACTTGCAGCTCCTACTCCCTGGGTAGCACCAGGCACCAATGTCACAACTGACAGAGCAGCATCAACCTCCTGGGCATCCGTGGTCACCTCCTGAGTAACACCTACAGCAAGAACACATGTCAGTACCAACTCAGAACAGCTGACAGCAACAGAGCAGATGTTTGAAGGACTATAACTCCACACATTAGCATTTCCAGAGTCACAGTGCAAGCAGCAGGTCCAGCCAAGTATCATTAGGGCAGCACAGCATAAAGACAGATTGAGAGTGCGCATGACAGGAACAAAAGCAGCAGAATCAGTCCTCATTTTCTTAATCATCCCTTATGGACAAGTGAACCCATGGGGAAGAATGCTACGGGAGCACAGCACTGCAGGCCAGTGGTGTGAAATACCAGTCACAGAATCATTAAGGTTGGAAAAGACCTAACATCATCAAGTCCAACAGTCAGAGCAAGTGATGCTACCAGAACAGTGCTTTTAGTGACAGGCTGTCATGGCTACGAGACTTCAGCTTTGTAGAGGGTTTTATTTTTGTTGCACAAGTCTTATTGACACTGTTTCCCCAACATTTGGGAAAACAGTGGAGAGGGAACCTGCTGACAAGTCAAGTGCTTATAAATTAATCTAGAAATTAATCAGTCAGGTTTAAGCACCAGCACGCAATTAGCTTTCCTTCTTTTACAGCCAGAGCTAAATCTTTTGGACGCAGTGAGGTGAAGTCATCCTTTTGCTCCTGCAGCCTAAGGGAGGAAGATTAAAGATGCCCAATTAAAACAAAGTCCTAAACCCCAGCTTGTGTTCCTCATCAGGCTAGGAACATATCATTGCCCACACCTGACCAGAACTTCTCCTTCCACATTTCTACTGCCTTTTTTTTTTTAACTACTGAATGGAAACTCTGTCAGTGGGCTGAAGGTGCCATCCCTGCAGGTAAGCACAGCACAGAGTGACACCATCAGCCATCCATCTTCCGCATTGACTGCAAGTGTCCATAGCCAGCAGCTGAGAGCCAGGTGATCCCAGATGCCAATCCATGTAACACCCCCAAAGTTATTCCCCTCTCCACTTTGCAGGGCTTCAGAGGGGGCAAGTGCAAGGACCACGTTCGGGTTCTTGCACTTGCCATATCAAAGAGACACTTGGAGGAGCATTATCCTCCTTCAAAAAGTGTTTAACCAGTGGTTAAGAGGCTGGGCTCCCTCCCTAGTCACAGGAGAGGCACACCAGAGGGTTATTCAAAGCAGATTTACATATCTCTGGTCAAGGCAAGATGCCTACAACCAGACTACAGCCATCCCCCTCAACCACTACACGAGCACCAAAACTGCAGCCCCTGCTTTGGCAGTACACCACACATGCAAAACAGTAACAAGGCAAGTTTGTTTGTTTTTTTTAACTAGCACTAAGTCCCTGCTGATGAGACTCCAATTCTCTACAGAGATCTCCATAATCAAGGATACCCTTCAACCCCAGGCTCAGCTGCCACAGCCTTTCCAGTCTCAGCTTTCCTGTTTGCTACTACAGCCACCCTCTCAGCCTGAGGAGCAGAACAGGCAGCTCAATACAGTTGCCCCACATGACAGTCAGGAAAGGGTACCACCCAACAGACTGGGCCTACCTCTACACAGGAACATCACATAGGAACAGCCAAGGCTAGGCAGGTCTTTATGGGTGTGAGTTACCCATTTAGGCTGTTGCCACTCCATAAAGGTCCATGGTCTTTCCTGGGGGGGAAGAGGTATCCTACCTCTATCACAAGTATCAAGATCCCACTTTATCTCCCTGAAAAGAAGCATAGATTCCCAAAAGTATCCCTCCTAAAACTACATTTAGAGGCAAGCGTCTAACTGGCAAGTTTTACCTTTCCATTTTTCCAGAGTAGGAGAGAGATCAGACTGTGTATCTGTCACCACAGCAGCCTCTGGCTGTGATGGTGGGATGTTTTTCCCTTCCTCTGCTGTGACTGCATTTATGTTTTCCAGCGAGTTGAGATCAGCCACGTCTACACTTGTCAGGTTCACAGCATGGAAAGCGTCACCACTGCCCGTGGAAGCTGTTGGCAACTCCTCCCCTCGCACCAGCTCTGTGCAGTTGGTCTCCTTAGCAAGCTCTGGAGTTGGTGGAGGGGACACTGGAGATGGCAGCACTCTTGTTGCATCTTCTTCCTCTTCCACACCTTCCTGTGGGGTCTGGGATGGTTCTGTTGTCCCCAGGTCCTCTGTCACCTCCTCATGAGACATGCTTCCCCCTTGGTTTGCATCCCCCAGTTTTGTGTCATCCCAGTCAGGTGGCACAGTGTCCATAGGGTGGATGGTGACAGTGCCAGCTGCGGTGGGCAGCTCTCCTTGCCTGACACCTGTCCCCACATCCAGGTGGAGGGAGGCCTCAGTGACTATGAGTGGATGTTTCACAGCCACAGATGCTTGCCCAGCCAAGGCCTTCAGAAGGGTCCCTGTGCGGGCTCCTGGCAGTCCCACCTCAGAGGTCACACCATGGGGCTGAGGAGTTGGGATGACAGGGTGGTCACTTGCTGTTTCCCAGCTGGGAGAGCTGGGGTACAGTGTGGGCTGGGGCACAGCAGAGGGGTGCGAGTTGCTCCCTGCCACCTCCTCCACAGCTGTTCCAGAGAGGGGGTTTGCCAAGAGGCTGGCAGAGCTGTACTCTGTTTCAACACCACCCTCTGTGGTGGTCTCACTAACGGGGCCACCAACAGACAACTCCTGGACAGCAGGGTTCAGTGTGGTCACAGCTGTGGTCAGCATGGCCTTGAACACATCATCCTCATCCAGCTCTGACTTCGTGGGACCAAGCTCCTCCTCATCTACAGCAGCTGCTGTCACAGCAGAGGTGTGAGCACCCAGGCCCTGGCTGCCTGGGATAACATGGCTTGGGCTTACAGGCAGCCTTTCTCCTTCTGCAGTGAAAGCTTTATTTAAGGGTGTCCCAGATGGCTTTGCTGACACTCCACATGGCTCTTCAGTGACAGTCTGCTCAGAAGGGCCCAGGTTATTTTTCAAGTTCAGCACACTTGTCCTTTCATCTTCTACCCCATTCCCTGCCCAGGGGCCATGCTGGACCTTTGTCATGTCCCTCTCCTCCAGTGGCTGAGATGCAAGGCATGGTGGACTGGAGGACAAGAGCAGGATGCTGCAGGTGACCACACAGATGTTAAATCCTATTGATCTACTCATAGCTGAGAAGAGATGTGCCAAAAGCCTGCAAGGCTGACAAGACCTAGAAAAGGAAAAAGGAACCAAGATTACACATACCCATAACGACCTCTTGACCCAGGGCCTTAAATAACTGGGTGACAAGTTCCAAGCATGCTAGTCTATGGCCAGTTCTGAGCAGATTCCACCTACACATCCCAAGCAACAGATCCCTCCATCTATTTTACTGTTCCTAGCCTACCCAAACTGAAGTCTAATGCCAGACAAAACCAAATCTTGATCTGATGCCCAGGACAAACCTTGCCAAGCTCTCACCCCAGTGGTAGAGTGCTATGTTCTACCCAGCAGGCATCAGGCTTGAAAGTATGTGATGAAGATCAACCTGTTTGTCCTTTACCAAGTTCAGGACTGATACTTGTTATGGCCAGACTGAAGTCTCAGGCCTGTTATGGCAAGCTCTGTTCTGTGCATTGACAGAGGGGAAACCAAGGAACTTGCACAGCAAACAAGGTGGCTCTATAGGGCACCAGGAGGATTTAGGGCTGCATTAGTGTCATGTCCTCCATGAGCTCCTTGGCCCCACAGAGAAAGGTTACAGCCCAGACAGCAGCACTGCTGCATTAGTACAGTGTTTATGCTGCACTGCACCATGGAGGTACTTCCAGAAAGTTTCATGTGTATAATCATTGTGTGCTTCAAGAGTTTCCAAGAGAATGCTGAACCAGTAGCCCAGCAGTGATCCAGCCAGCTGACAGCCTGGTCTTGGCAGGCTCTGTTGCCTCCAGTAACACAGCTCAGGCTGCTGGACAGATGGAGGACCTCACAGCAGCTGCCTGCTCCCAGCCACCTCCCTCCAGGCAGGTGGCTCAGTCCTGGACTTGCTGCACCATCACTCAATAGCAGAAGACCATCCCATCCAAGGCCCCACTCATGGCATGCAGAACAGCTGGTCACCCAAGCCTCATGCACACAACAGACAACCCTCCATCACACAGCAGATCTGGCAAGGTCCTCCTCACAGTTTCAGGAGGCAGTTTTAGTGGAACCGTCAAGCCCTACTCTAAGAAGCCTCCAACCACTGACAGCTTCACTTGCTTTGGCTGGTATGGTCCCAGTTTCACAAGTGAACTGCTCCTACCTTTGAGCCATAGGACTAATGATTAGTAAAGAAAAAAAGGTTCAGGTTGTCAAAACTATCCCCTCTTCCCAACAGCAAAGGTCATCCTTTGCAGCCTTGCTCATAGGCACCAGGATGAGTCCCTCCAGCTTACTAGACTCCTCATTCCCCAACCCAAACAGCATGTAAGTAGATTACTTGCATTTGTATACACAATGCAGCAGCAAGTCACCTAGCACTGCTTTGTTACACAAGGGTGTATCACTCCTCCATGTCTTCTCATGCACCAATGAGATGCTGCATGAGAGGTAAACTCTGATGTTGAGAGGAATCTCAGTGACACCATGCTTGTGCTAGTCCATCTAACACAAAGGCCCCCCACATCCAGCTGCTCAGGTGTATTTTCTGCTCTTAGAAAATGTTTATTGTATGTGTCCAGCCACCTAAACACAACCAAGACACTAGAAAGCTCAATACATCTGGTCTGGTCACACACAGCTATATGCATTTCCAACATGTCTCTTGCTCCATACAGGAGAGAAAGATTTCCCTTATGATCTGCAGGGCTGCCCATAGCCTAGAAGGCAACATCAACACTACCAGCTTAGAGACACAACAGGTCAGAGCAAAACGCTGCAGGCTGCGTTATCTGGTTGAGCC